ATCGTTTGAGCAGAATGCTCTCGTGATGAAAATAATTCGGACGATTATTAGGCCTTACAAGACGCTACGGGTTTCAAAGATGAATTCTAACTTTATGTTTTTCATTATGCTTGAAAATTTTACCAAGAAAGATTCAGACAATAAGGAGTTATATGAAATAGAAATATAGTTTGGACAGAGTACGTACTCTTACGTACTCTTATTACAATAAGAGTACGTAATACTGCCAAACGAGTAGAGCACAATTTTGACAATTTCTTTTGAGGTTTCTCGCGTTTGTACTCTACACAATGTACAATAGCGTATAAATTCATGTCCAATCTCATAATAATAACAGTAATGTGATCGGACTTCGAAGTGATGAAACGTAATCACCACTGTTATGCTATTCCAGCATTGATTAGTTACGTTCCTGAGGTACTATACTCCTCATACGATCCCGAACTCAAAATTTTGTGTAACCATTTATTATGTTCAGTTTTTTTACTTGCTTGTTCAGTCAGGTCACCTTTGGAAAATATATGTATCATTTTTTCTTCAGCTTCAATACTTTATGGGTTAAAGTCCCACAAGATTCATATATCCAATGGCTCCCAATGATACAATTTAAAAATTTTCATTATTTTATTCTAAAAAATTTGAAATTCAAATGGAAATTTTAGAATTAATAATTTTTCCCATTTTCTATATATAGTTCCCCCTTTTCCTGGTCTAATTTTATTCAAAGAAAACCTAAATATGAATTGGTTAGTGCACTATCTCTACTTTGAATATCACTAAAATTTTACGGTTTTAAGCAACAGAAAATTCAATTGATGATGCAATGAGTGACATCCCATAAAACCCCATTTAAGTGGATACATTGAATTGGTTGAAGCAAATGAACGAAATGTAAAAAATTTTTGAATGGTACGGAAGTATAAACCATTTTAGTCTGGCTTTGCTTGCTATTGCTGCTAAGACAGCGCAAGTATTCTAATCATAGACTCAAATCTCAAGTTCATCTGTAAAAAATGAGCTGAATTACAATGGGAGTTCTTCGCAAGCTACAATTAAGATGTTAACGCTGAGAACGAGTAACTCGTCAATAAAAACGTCCCTGGAAGTTATCGAAAAACCAGACTTCAATTTCCGGTCAAGTTACATTACATGGGACGACGAAAAGCCAGCAGAGGTTTTCTAGAGAATTTACCGGTGTCGGGGAAATTTTCTTTCGTTTAGTGGCGAAATACGGATGTTTTTCGGCAGTGGACGGTCGAGTGAACATCGGAAGTCGAACCGGCGAAGCATTTTTTTGTTATTTAACTCGACTTTCAGGAGAATAGTGCAACGATCGTAAATAATGCATTATCTTAAATTTCGTAGCTCATTCGATTGGTTGAGTAAATTGACTTTAAAAAAATTAACGAAGTACAATTCCTGTCAATATATGATGCGTGATTAAAGCTGGATGAATGACTCAACTCGAGATCGAAAAACAGGTGGTCCATGCAAAGGTTTTTCTAGAACATAAAGAGCTAAATTAAACCTATATAAAAGCTAGTTGTTAAAAAAATTTGGATGCATTATCAATGAAATAATTTATTTGGAAACATTCATATATTTAAAATTTATTATTAATAAGTTTTATTTATTAATAAATTTATTAGAGAAACATTTCTCTAAATAGGCTTATGGATTCAATGACTTCGAAATTCCTTAGGTTTTAAATACAAACCCATCTTCAAACTCTCATCCTATTGCTCAAAGACGAACGTTGAGTAATGATTAATAATTAGGTCTATTATAGTAAAGAAGCCATAACAAGGAAAAGACAAGGCTACAAGAAATGGTTGATAGAGCGATATCTTCAAACCAAGATAATTGTATAGTCGAGGTGAATAAGGGTGGGAATCATGTATACTGATTCTCCTCTCTTAGAAGGGTCGCTTTCTAATTGAAGCTTCTCTCAAACCACGGAGATAATCAACCAATAAATAACCTGAATTGTTAACATTTGTTAAACTGTTGGTAAAAAATCGATTTGCAAGCTCGGTATGAAGTAGAACTGGCAATCACATCAGCAATCCAATAAGTCCTCTCTTGAGGGATCAGGATATAACCAAATTTGACTTTTATCATTCGCATATACAGGTATGTCATAGGAAATCTTTATAATGAAGATAAAAAATAGCGCTAAAAATATAGTACAGATGAAAAAAAATCGCTCGCGAAAACCCAAAATTTAACGAAAAAACATTTTTAGAAAATTTTTTCCTACTTCTTTCTGACATCCGACAGTCATTTTGCATCGGCGCAGTAATGGAAAATTACTGCTGATGAGCATGCGAGAGGTTCTCGGTTGCGTGATTATAGTCACAGAAGGAAGAACCTCGATGTTGGAGGCATAAGAAGAGATGTAGAATGTGGGTCACTGAGCCTTAATGCGGGTCTTCCTAACACAGTTATAAACAGCCACAGAAGTCGTAGTCTGCTGAGGGCGCCTCGTTTCCCGCTGATGTGAAACTTTCCGTCTCCATTTGAGGCGTCATCTTTTATTGTCGAACTCTTCGTTGTAAAGCTCCTCCATCACGGCCGGAAGCCCACGCACTTCTCATTGAAGTATATACGTTAAAGCTCGAGGTTCTGAATTTGATGCATGAAACGAAGGCATTGTATGAAATTTCAAATTAATAAACTTAAATAGCTAAATTTTTTATATTTTGTTGAAACCCATTATTGCCCTCCTTGGAAAAAAACTCACCATCCGCAAAAAATTCAAAATTGTATCAAACTTATCAGTAAGATAACATTGTAGAGGAAACATGAATGCGAAAAATGTGCACAACATGAATGCGAAAAATGCGCACAATGTTGTTTACAACATGGTATGAATATTCTCCTGTGCTTTAGCCCGTGAAAATTTCCCCACACGTACACGCAAAAAAATGTAATGTTGCATTAATCGTCAGGGCTGCAGCAGAGAGGGCCGCAAGATGAGTGGCCGTGCGAACTGCCTCTGTCGACCGTTAGTTAGGTTGCATATCCTCTATCCTGGCTGACGATGAGCTGATCGCCGGCATCATGCCTGGCAAGTGTCCATTTGAGCTGACGATTGTTACTGATCTCTTGATCAGTATCGTTGATCTTCATCAGTATACATTTGCCGCCACGTGAAGAAACTGGCGACTGTGTCTCAATCTCCAGACGCTATGGCTATACATTAATCGCCACTCAAAGAAGCTTGCGACTTATATACGGACCAGTGTCCATTTAGCGCTGAAAGGCTGGATCCCAGTGAAAATTTACAGACGCGTCAGCTTCTGATTTGGATTACCAGAAGCTGGGGCGACTCTAAATTTTGTTAGGGATGGGAAGCTTATGATAACCTGCATAACCAGCTGAAGAGGTTAAAAACTGTCATATTTTGCTGTCATATCGTGTATTTTTGGCTGTCCTATGGTCCCATTTTTACTGTCCTATCAGCTAATAATGACTACGAAATATTATTGCATCAGAGGTAAAAAAACTCATGAGAAACCAGAACACAGCACTCAACACCAGGACTTTCTGTAAAGTGAGGACATTCAGCTATCCTTATTTCCAAACAACCGGGTGATTAATATGTTCAGGGATTTAATCGTCGGGCGATAAATTTGGACTAAGCCAATAGTCGGAAGGTTAACTTTTGGTTTAATCAAAATATTTAGTCTCTAGGTTCATTTGTAATCAATCATTGGATAATTTAACCAGTAACGGGAAAGCGACTAGCCGTGTGCAAGGTGTGAGGGAGAAGAGAGGAGATGGGTTTCGTTTTGCCACACAAGAATGAAATAACACGATCAAATAATAAACATCATGATATATATTTGGATTACAGTTCATTTAGGTAATAATATTACAAATAATCCATGCAAATACTAATTACGTAGCATGAGATATGTACCAGGTAACTGGTGATGGATCTGCAGCTAAAAAGCTCAGACTGTTTCTTACAGCAGCATATGAGACGAAGTGTTGTCGATTGCCCGGCTTGACTGTAACGTTAGGTTCTATGCCTCAGTAATACGAATGACGACTCACACCTACCAGTTATAAGGATAAAATTAGGTCTAATAATTTTCATTTAATGAGGATCCCTTGAAAATAGGAGTTTGCACTTTGCAGCCTTGCAAAACAGGAAAGTGGTCTACGCATTTCAATCGACTGGCTTTTTCTTAAGAATTATTCATTTCTTGCCGTGAGCGCTTGTGCACAACCACATCCACTCTGCTGCAGCGATAAAATGGTCTCTTCTGACCGATCAAGCACATAATTTTACTACAGTCGTAAAAAATGTTGTGGTGATCGTCAGTTACACGACGAGACAACGTGCAGTGGTACAGAATTGTCAACATGTCCGTTCTATGACGACAGTAAATTGCTATTTCAACGATTCAACATGCATGGAGGGATTGAACATGCACTCATGTGTGAATAGAAGGATTAAGAATATGTCCGGTATTATTGATTAACTGTCTCTTACTTCTCAAGTCCTCAAGTGCTACCCTTTGAAAGACGTGTTGAAGCATGCCTCAAATGTCCATGTTAAACTCCTGCAGTCCAAACATGTCTGAATAAATACTTTCTTGATGGTTAGCACTGAATAACAGTCAAATCAGGGTTAAAAGTTTAAATTATGGAAAGCATGCAAACTGAAGACGAAAATTTTCTTACCTTGATTTCATCTTGTAATTATACAGCATAGATTTGATTTGTGTAACTACGATATTTAATAGAAAGTAAAACAACAGATCTTTTTGTTACTTTGCAATAGAAAACAACAGATCTTTTTTGTTCGAAGAACTATTGTACACATGAATTATAAGAAAAAAATGTGGGAGGGGGAGTTTGCGAAGGTCGAGCAATGTAGGAGGAAGATGAGTGGTTCTTGCAGCCTGAAGAAGATCTTGCAGGTCTTTGACCAGGCCGAAGAGCTCACTGGCGCAGCTCCACGATTGCATTCAGCTCGTAGACGTGGCCGAGCGAGGTTGTCTGGCTTTAGCTCCTCTCTTGCAGCGTGACTGGCGGCACTGACTATGTAACTTCTGTGCAACACTTGAGACAGACACCGGCCTTCAGCGCTATTGATATTCACGGTGCTTTCTTCTGTCTACATAGAAGTAATCTAATAGCCTGGCATAGCTAGTTCATGCTACTCAAGTTTACTAATCTTCTATTTGAACAGCCTCTTAGGTAAGCAAATTGGATGATTGAACTGTAAAGATCGTCATTTCGATATAATTAGATCAGTACCTTAATGGGAATGAGTGACTTGACAGGAAAGTGACTTGAAGTTTAGGTATCAGTGTGATTCCACTCCAATCCCTTCTCTGAAAGCAGTTTACCCGCAAGAGGTTTTCCTGATCCTGAAACAACGAGCTGACTACGAGAGTTTCCGTCAACGGTAAGACTTCAAGAATGTTTAATATATTAAAAATAGGGCAACTTAACTTGGGTTGGCAATTTTCCTAATTTTTGTTAGCAAGGTCATGAGAGTGATGAGACATAAATCATTTATTGGAGCTCCGTTTGATTGATCATGAACAAGTAATCCTGAATTACACTTGCGTTCAATACTTTGAGTCTGAGACATGATCGCCACCATCTGTACAAAATCAATACTTTCACGCCAAAGACTGCAGCAACGACGTTAATTACACACCACGTATTACACATGTCTTCCAAAATACAAATACTCTTAAAGTTTGTGTACCATCTCTACTTTGTACCCCATATAAGTGTGAATTGGATACCAATTATTGGTTACTAGTTATCAGTAGTAACCAATTGATTAATATTTGAGCAACCAAAAGTATGGGCTACTAGTAATTAGTTGATCACTTATCCAACACACAAAAGAACTTGAGCCGAATGTCCATTGCTGCGACGACATTAATCATTTATAGGGGCGTGGTGACATATTGACCCGTTTTAACTCAAATTTAAAACTCGTAGTTTTATTTTTGAGGGAGGCAAAAAATGGGTAAAATTGCGGATTACATATTATGTCTGACGAGCGTCCTTAAACTGCTGTAACTTAGATAAGGTTTTCTTAATGCTAGATCTCGATTTTGACTAGGCCCCATCTCAAATAAACGATTAATCACAGTTTGCTCAGCAACCAGATCCTTGAAGGTGTGAAGTCACGCAATTGTTGAGAACGATATTTTGTTGTTCGGCCTTTTGCATGATCTAGGTCGAAACTAGCAAATTCCTTTTCGCAGTTTGCCAGCGCATTTTGATGAAAGAGTCGAGGCAGGATCACTATCAGCCCAGCGTTGATCTCACCTAGTAGCCATCCTTGTTCCTAAAAAGTTTTTTCATTATTTTGAATTGCGTTTTCTAGGCAGAGTTACTTTTTCATCAGTTCAAAAAAACTGGTCAAAAATCTAAAAAAGTTTGCTTTTGGCCAGTTTTTAGTCAGTGTACAAGAGGCATAGAGTTCATACATATTTTGGTGACATTATTTTTTTTAGATCAATAGCTTTTGATAGTTGGGAAAACATGTCCAGTAACTGGCTCTCAATGTAGTTAGGATCCCCCAGCCGTAAGTGCGAAAGCTTCACCGGCACACTTCCCGACCACTTTTTCTAACGCCTTGTCCAGCGTAGATGTCCGAAACTTTCCTCTGGAGAAATTCAAGTACGCTTCAGCCCTTATTTTGCCTAGGGCTGGGTGAAGAGTCGTTTAAGAGCTCCGTGCTACGTTTCTTAAGTACGGAGAAGATTGAAATCATTGGCTTGGTTTGTATGCTCAATACATTTCTCTAATGATTTTAAATTATTAACAAGAACTGGTTTTGTTTGGACGATGCTTTAACTCGGCTTTGCAAGTTCTTAGTCAAGAATTTACCACAGTTTGTGTGCAAGGAGCGAGTCGCTGGCAGGGATGAGATGGCGTGAGCAACCTCACTTAGCGACGGAAGATCAAACGCACGCGATTCGCGAACATGTCGGTTTCGGTATACTGTGGACTTTCATTTATACTATGACAAGTTTTATTTCATAGAAAACGCGAGGTGCATCTCGTATTGGTACGAATAGCAATGTTATTATATTTGTAATCATTCTATGTTTACCAATGTTTTTGATCATGAAACATAAATTTTCTATCACTTGTAGATGAAAAGTATTTTGATCACTCACGCAATGATCACTCACGCAACTTACTGTCTCAGCAATTTCAACTGATTTTTATTTTTGCAAAACAATAAAGGTGAACACAACCGGAGTCACGACGAAGATACTTGCGGGTTGCCATATGCCGACTGCAGGTCACGCGCCATTGAGTTCGTCGTCAGTGGAGGGGAGCACATTCTGCCTTCCGAGTATAAGTTATTGCTTCCTCTAGCATTAGCTTCTCTGTTAACGAGATAATATCAGGCGCGTATGTTATAAAGTTTAAATTGGTTCAATAATTTTACTGCAAATAATGTAGAAGAAAGATTTTAATAAATTCTGAAGAAATTTTTGCACTCGTGAATTAATTGACAGTGGCAGATCAAGCTTGATACATGGGGAGTTAGCATAGCAGCTCAGTGCTCTCGTAGTAGCGAGCTATTTCAGGTGACTTTGACGCTGCATCTTAGTGATAATGGTGCTCCCGTATTAGTGCGCTATTTCAGGTGACTTTGACGCTGCTTCTTAGTGATAATGGTGCTCCCGTATTAGTGCGCTATTTCAGGTGACTTTGACGCTGCTTCTTAGCAATAATGGTGCTCCCGTATTAGTGCGCTATTTCAGGTGACTTTGACGCTGCATCTTAGTGATAATGGAAGCCCTCACTGTGCAGCGTTGGCGTTGCAGTGCAACATCGCTCATGATTCGCGTCCTGAGAGGCTCTGGCCACGTCCGGTGCGGCCGAGTGCATCGCTCGCACCGAAAGACGAGCGCCTGAATGCGGCCAAACTTTCGAGCGTCTCTTGTTTGCCCGCTCTGCTCCTGCACGTTTACTTCTCTTGCCGCGCTTGAAGGATTCTTCTTTTATAAGTTTTTAAAAGTTTTCCGGTTGTGGCTGCGCATTATTTCCGCTCTGATTTTTCCTTTGTTTTCTAAGGTATTTTAAACGCATTTTGTACGGTATTTTTTCAGGACATGATCTCAAATACTTTCTTAAAATATTGGTTATAGATCGTTTGCATTTATTCTAAAATATGTCAATTTACGAGAAAATATGCACCCTGAAGATTTTCCACAAAATCACGCGACAACATTATTTGTTTACAATTACATTTCTTTTTGTGGTAACCTTCATGATTATCTTGCATGTACCTATGCATATTGTATATTCTCCGTCCTTATATTTGCCCGAGGAGTTTACGATGACTAAGGCCCCTTTCACACAGGGCAGTAGATACTGCCGCGTCAAAAATGCCGCGGCAGTATTTACTGCGCAATCTTTCACACGAGGCGCTTTTTACTGCTGGGATCTATCAGTCTTGCAGTGCTTTATGCTTCATCAGTCCATCTCTATGTTTATGTAACAATATTTCTTTATGAAAACACTGTATTTCTCTATGTGAGAATGATGTAAATACATCTCTATGGAAATACCTATATATTTTATGGAAAATATATCTTTTATAAAATATATCTCTATCACTTCAAGGAAATATATATTTAACAATGTATATCTTTATGTTTATGTAACAATATTTATGTACCGATATTTATGTTACAATATCAGTCTATAATCTATCAGTCTAGCAGTGCTGTTTATTATGCACCTAAAATACGGCCCCACTGTCTGCCGGGATCTGGCGTCAAAAAACCGCCCAGTGTGAAAGATTACATTGAAAACCATTGCAAGCTAAACTGCGCGACAAATCTACTGCCGCAGTTTTAGCAGGACAGACGCTGGCGTCAGGCGTCAAATTCTACGCCGCAGTAAAAGCAGTCGTGTGTGAACAGCAGTGCACATTTCGTATGTCCGCTAAGGTTCGGCAGTAAATACTGTCGGACGCTGGCAGTATTTACTGCCCTGTGTGAAAGGGGCCTAAGTGAAATACCGCGTCAATTGTACATTTGCACTTGATTCTATTTGAGTATGATTCGTTGTATGACTCTCATTGGTGACTGCAGAGTCATTTAAAATAATTAATTATTAATTTATTCATGCTTTTTCTTTGTTTCTACGTTCTTGAACAGCGATTTGAGATATTTCACCCGTTGTCTCGTAAGCGCACAAAGCGGCTCTTTTTGATAAAGTTGAGGCATCCAGTGACAGCTAATGCCCATGAATGCTTGGATTTTTGTCCCCTCTCTCTCGTGCATCAGTAACGGACTCGCAAAATAATAAAACTATAAGTGTTGTTCATCAGCGTTTAAGACATTGTTGCATAAGGCTAGCCGCGTGTACGAGTTGAATTAAAAAATCTTCAGGCAAAACTCTAGTGTAATCGTTCCATTGCCTTTTATAAGTCTGTGTGTTTGATGAGATCACTGCAGCTGTTCTTTTTACATCTCATTCTTCAAACCCAGCTGCCGCCTTCTTGTGAGTAACACGTCCGTTAGTTGTTTAACAAGAGTTCAACATGAAACCTTTCCGGGTAAAAATTACGAGATGAATGGGATATTGAATAACTTAGTTTACTTATGAGTGAAATGAATGTTGAAATCACGTCATCGGTCAAAAATAGAAGCGCGTTTTCGGCCTCAACAACTTATGTGGAGAAGTTCAATCGCGTACAAGTTCTTTAATCGTTTTCAAGTTCGTTGATTCTACTGCTGCTTCAATTGTGGTTCATTCATAGTGTCCCATATATAAATGTCCCAGCGTCGAAATCATCTCCGCTCTGAGGAAGTATTGCAACAATTCATTCATATGTCACGTGTGAGAATGGCATTCATGCTACCGTAAAGCACTTCAAATTGTATTCAAAATGGAAAGTTTAAATTCAATTTAGTTCCGGGTATATGGAGATGAACATTTAATCTGAATAATAAGTTACCACTTCATTAATATAACTTAATCGTCCTATTTTCGTTTAAATAAGGGTTTTAACTAGACTTTCTTTAATTCAAAAACTACTTGGGATGAGAATTGTTAAGTTCAAATCAGAATTATGCTTGCCTTATGATCTAATATTTCGTAGCTGTAAGCACATGAAGTTGACATTCTAGGTTCAGATCAGAAATTGGAATTTGATATTAATGTTTAAAACGCCAGTCTTTACAGCATGCATATGATGTTGCTTGAAGTTTCGCGGTCGCTTAGTCCTCGACGTCCCGAATAATCGAAGTCACTGCGGCTGGCCTATGTGTCTGCAGGTTTTTTATCTCTGAAAGTCGATGCTTCTCAATGAAGTCAAAATGAATCGTCTATGAAGAATAACTATCAATAACTGCAATATGTTTCTACATTTTCCCGAAGCTCTTCATTACTGCTTAATATCTTAGTTCAACC